ACTAGTTTCAACGCTGTGATTTTAAAAACATCACTAATTTAGATTACTTTTAATTCTTGTTAGAACTTAGCGCATGTATGAGCTGCCATGTAGGTCGGAAAAACTTACTCTGACACAATCTTCTCTTAAGCGTATTTCCGAAGGAATGTTACATTTGCTTTACTATTGGAAACAGGAAAATATTGTTTCACTTTTGTTATTGTCCGCACGAACTGAATTTGTCATTCAATTTAACGGGTATTTACAGCAATTTTCGACGGATTCCGCCTGCCACTGTAGGCCGGTGGTGAACTTCAAGTGTGTTTGGGTTAACGATTATTATTCTCAGTGAGTCGTGGCGATGGGAACGACTAGCGAAAGCGCCGCGCGTACCGCGCGTGCTCGCGTGCTGTTTTGCTGCAAAAATGCTCTATTGTGATAGTGATGCCGTGCCTCTGTTGGAGTCGACAATAAATCGAACAACAAACTGGGAAAAGAGGACGCCCGTCTGATAAGGAGAATGCCGGACCCGGGGGCCGCCGGCCTACGGGCGCTGCCGGATGTGCCCAGAACATACATACATACGTTCCACTTCCCCTGAAACTTCCTCGAAAGCCGCAATAAGACAGCCCGCCTGCCTAGGCTGCCTGCGCGCGCGAGCAGACTCGTGTGTTGTTACACAACTACTCTGGTACACCTCGCCGCGCACTGCACTGAAAGCTTCATTCGGATCGGCGGCCGCTTTTGACATTTTACGGAATTGGTAAGTAGTAAGTAGCAGCCGATCGAGGGACGCGGGTGGCTTACTTGGGGCAGCTCCCAGCGAGCGGCTGGCATTCAGCGGGGGCGCTCGCTCGCCTGCAGACGGGGTTGCCCGAGGAGGAGGTGCCACCGCCCATAGCGCCCGAGGAGTCACGGCTCCAAAACAAAAATGCCATGCTGACGATGCGCGACTCCCTCGTCATCCCCAAACACTAACGCACTAACTGCATCGCTGAGAGTTGACACGCCTGAGAGCTAATGGAGCAGCAGCAGCTGCAGTGACCGACCCTGGCGGCCAAAAGGGCGCTCCGACATGACGCCCGCGCGCTCCGCCCCGCTACGCAGCTCCACACCAACGCGAACGCGGCCCGAATACCTCCACCGGGACCGGGAGACATAGGGCAGAACGTGATGGAAAAGAAAGGACTCGCGAGAACGAATCGGGCGCGGAAATGATTCGAGTCGTCAACCCAAAGGAGTCGGGGTTGGTGGAGGGAGGGGGCTTTCCAAGGACCACACACTCTCAAAAGCACCAACGCCTCTCGTTACGAGCAGGAACGGTCCAAGGGACGGGAAAAGTTCCAGCTCTTTCCTTCGTTGCCGTTTAGCTGTAGAGATACTGACACTTAAGAATACGCCGTTCACAGCCGACGAAGGCGCGGAAAAGGAAGGGAGCGCGGACCTCCGCGAGGACGCACGCGTACTTGCGGCTCATTTGTGGTCCCTATGATTTAACATGGGAGCGTGACCACATAGTGGTCGTGCCGCAGGTAGTAAAGCAGTGGTCATTCCATATCGCTGATGAGCAACCAGAACCAGTCCTAACATTTTTCTGCCGGGGAGGTGGCGATTGGGCACAGCGTCCGCGTCCGCCACAAAACTGATCCACGCCACCGTGGCGATCGCCAGCGGCTGTCTCGTGGCGCAGAGCCGCACACAGAGAGGGCTGCGGTGCGCCTTGCACAAGGAGACTTCCATGGTGCCTTGGTGACTCACTTCACTAACGAGCTGAGCTGACTGGCGCGCGCGCCGTAAGCCTCCCGCGGCGGGCGCGGCTGCTGCGGCTGCTGATGGCCCGCGGGGCACACAGGCACAGGGGCATCCCATCCCGGAAGGAGAGTGGAGGGGGAGGTCGGAGGGAGGGAATGGCGTGCGCTCCAATCATAGAATGAAATGTCGCCGCGGATGGACAGGTGGCGGGCCGGGGCAGGGCGGCCGGTCGGCCTCCTTTCCCCGTTTCCCGCCTCCCCCGCATCCCCCACGCGCTTGATCATAATCAGCTGATAATGGGCGTTGCGTGGTCTGGCGCCGGCGCCGCGACGGCCGCAGGGTTAATGTCGCGACAGAGCCGCGAAGAGCCCTTTGTTTCCAGGCTTTTTGTCGTTGTTGTCGCCGTGTCTGGATGTCGCCGTCACCCTGCACCACCACGCCTCCTCCACGCCGGGTGGGCCCAGAAGAGTCATAGGGCGCTGCGGAGCTCACACCTTGCACAATTGCTCCGCAGCATGGCTCGCAGTTAGCGCGCCGGCGCTCAGCAAGGCGGAAAGCCTGCGCCAGACCATAGGCCTCCCGGGTGGGGCCGCGGGGAGGGGGGGGGGGTGCTCCCGGCCCCACCAGGCCCTCGGCGCGGCGGCCGGTCCGGAGCCCCCCTAGCCTGGAGCAGCAGGCCGCCTGCTTCCCGGCGGTACACCTCAGTCCCCATCCTGATCCTGAGGCGTGCGCGCCCGGCTCCGACCGCGAGCACGAGTAGCACGCTAGTATAGTGCGTGTCCCCCCGAAAAAAAAAAGTAGTTTGTTTTCGCGAGCTGTCTGATCCCGAACCTCCCGCGGGAGACCGCGAGCAAAGTGTTGTGTGAGTGATTGAGTTTTGTTCTTCGGTATGTTTTATGTGATGCGAAAAGTGCCATCGTACAAAGTCAAACGTTGACGCGCGTGTGTAACAGTTGTCGCCTCAGGTTTCAGCATTACAGTCAGCCGGGGGATAGCCCCTGGGAGGAAGGCCATCCTGGGCCCGTCACACACCGGTGTTCGACGGGCATGCCTATGCGCACCGGCGCCGTCACCCGGACGTTTCTCGAGCAGTTTGTTACAGTTTGCAATGAAACAGGCCACCGGTCCACTCTGTGCCGGGAACAGAGACGGGCGCAGTACAGATAGAGCGAGATTTGAAAAAAAAGGTGGTCGTCGTGCGTCGCCCGCGCGGAAGGGAGCCCGGAGCCCGGTGGTGGTATCAGATCGGTTGCGACGCGCGATGCGATGCGAACCAGTGATGCAGGGGTGGAAGTGCAGTGTCGGTGCTTTAGATGCTCCCCTCTCCTCCTGTTCCAGCGCGAGATTCCAGTAGTAGTGCACTTCCTAGACAACGCAAGACATTCTATTTTTAAGTACATGCAATGTATTTCATTTTTATCTACAGGGCTGTGTACTATTATAAAAGTGCGCATTGCATAAGGGATCGTCCAGAAATGATGTCCGATTTTATCAGATTCATTCGGTAAATTATGGCAGCACGGCGCCTGCGAGGCTTGGGGTAGGCCACCCCGCAATGCACGCATGCCCAGCAGGCAAGATGTTGCCTACCTACCAGGCGCTATGAGAGCATGCAGCGGAACGACGAATGGAAGACGTTCTTTCTGGATGATCCCTTACTGCCCGTGGCCCCTCATGAGTAGGCAGCCCGTCCGCACGGCTGCTTGGCGGTACAGGATGTCTCACCAAACTATAGTCTATCGATACCAGTCCATGCCTCACAGCATGAATAAAGCTTGAAACTACT